ACAAAAAATTATATCTCTATATTTTCTGGGATTTCATCGATAACGATAATTAGACGATATTTTGCTGAGTGTGTTATTGTGCTGGTATCTTAAGGACTTTCGTGGACAGCTGACTTCTGAAGTTTTTGATATTCTTCATATTCTGTGTGGTGGTCAGATAGAAATTAATCTTTTCCAATAGGTTTAAATTGATTTTTACCTTTTCTGGGCATTTTTACCTTTATAAAGCCATTTTTTCTAAACGTGTGCATTATCTCATGAGTCAAATTCTTACATTTAATCATTGAATTAGAATAATAAGACATTTGGGCTGTTACCAAGCAAATTAAATCAGTATCAACAAAATGTGCAATGCAGAGGAGAAACAGAAGCTGCATCTGAAGTGGCGTTTAGATGCCTTTACACACTGTTTAATGCAGGACACGCATGCATTTAACCTGCAATTACAAATGCATAAATATTGTTCTGATATATTAAACATAAAACGTTGAATACTGATATTTGAAATTATTTAAATAATAAAAAGATACTTTAAATGTGAAATTAAAACCGCCAGTAGGTGGCAGCAAGTCACTGTTAAGTGAGTCATTGCGACTGAATGTGTGGTTTTTAGGCATTTTTTCTTCTTCCTAACCCTTTGAGGACCAAATGAAACCCTTCCAGTCATATGCTCTGCCTGCCCCCCCGTCAGTTCTGGAAGATTTGCAGCCTCGCTAGTCGCTACCTTCGGTACAATCAGTACTTACGCTACTGAAGAAAAACAAGTACCGGCAGGATTTTAAAATGTTTATACCGACTTGGTACCATAGTATCAGTTCTCGTGACATCCCTACCAGAAAGTACTGTCAACAGGCAGAAAAAAATAATAATACAATTTCACCATGTTTTTAGGAATAAAATGTCACATAAATCAGTGTGAATGATATATGAACAACCCCCTCTATAAAACCCTTCAGAATGTACTGTATAGCGAGGAAAAACACTAAAATTTGGTGTATGTAAACGCGGCTGAAATGAAGTAAAAAATTCACTGCCTTTAAAGATATCAATTGGAATTGACATCTACAAACACAAATAGATAAACTGCAATAAAATAAACACTTAAATGTGTATTTTGGTTGTCTTCTTTTCACTAGTCTGAAAAAAAGATATGTTAAAGAAGTAAAATAGCCCAAAATCTCAAAATTGACCAGTGCATGAAAAACGCTGTTTGCCTGTAGTGTCTTGCATTAACGTTTGTAAAATTTCAGTAAATGAAGCACAAACCATTAAAAAGTCCAAACTTTTGTCTGGGGTTAAATCTGGGGTTCCCACCTTCAATGCTGTCACTATCCTGAAGCGCAGGATAATAGCTGACGTCAGGAAACTGCACATAAGGGCAATAACACATCTGTGACAGCCCAAGGCCTACGGGAAAATGCCAGCCGATGGGCTCCGCTGGTGTCTGAACCTGCTGAGAGTCTGCAAGCAAAGCCGCCAAATCAAACACTGGGCTGCCAAGGGCTTCACTCCCAGCGTCAGAATCAAACCCCAGGAAGATGTCAGCACTGGGATGAGTGAGTCTATTTGACACGGATGAATCCACCTCACGGTCTGTTTCTGCATGTGCATCAAGCTGGTTGAATGCAGAGAGCATGTTATCAATGTCTGAGTGAATCTGATATTCAATATTGGGAAACTCAGACTCAGTCATCACAGGATCTCCATCATTTGTTTCTTCTAGACACCTGAGCGCTGATTCTGAGAGGTTTACGTCACTGTTTGTCCTCTCTGACCGCCGACACGCTCTCACACCAACGTTTCCATCACACACAGATGCTGCAGGAGCTTCCATCTGATTGACGTAACGCAGTGGTTTGTGCACGTCTTCATGCATTTCCTCCTTGTTCAACTCTTCTGGTGTCTTTTTCAGCTCACAGACGTCTAGTAGATCTACCAGCACTCCGCGAGGACTCTCAGTGTCCGTGTGGTTTGGATCAGGACCGGTGGATGTTTTTATCGTGCTGTTCCACTGCAGTAACAGGCCCGTCTGCTGCGGTCCAGAAAGAGCACCGCCACCATCCCAAACCTCTTTGCCATTAACGTACACAAACGGCGCCTTGCACCACAGTTCTGTGGAGAGAGAGAAGATATAAAAGTGACAGATCTATTTTGGAAAAATAAACATTTTCTGAAGCTACTGGTGCTGAAAAACTACAGGTACCACAAACAAAATAAGTACCAAGGGCATGTTAAAAAAAAAAGTCGATTCCATCCCCACTGCACTTCTGACACGATCCCAAACGAGATCCATATGAATGCATGCAATATCCTTGTTTCTGAAATGCGATGAGATCACACGCCAACCGAAACACGCAAGTATGTCACATGGGGTGTCAGGGGCTAGTTGTCACATGGGGAAGTTGTCATAATCAAAGGTTCTGAATCAAGTCCTATTGAACAAATGCTTATTTCCTCTAGTGGTGGTTTCAAACACTTCAAAACATAAATTGCAATTTTTCCAATTAAAAACAATACAGGTTTGCTGTGTTCATTTGTAGGGCAGCAGAATTTGTCCAAAATGTTGTTATTATATATCAATCAATATGGCTATAAAATAACAATATTATTATTATTATTAAATAAAAATCGTAAATAAAACATCTCTTCCATCTTTATTTGACCCTCTAACTCTAGCAATCTCTATTCTAATTCTATTCTTTAAAAGACTTGCCTTTTAGACTTGCACTCGATTCATTTACTGCTTGTTTTCTTAAAAACTAACACTAGCTTGCTCTATTCTTTTTCTATTCTATCTATTCCTTTTTTTATTTATTATACAATTAACAAAAGCAAAAAGGCCTCTAACACTAGCTTGCTCTATTCTTTTTCTATTATATCTGTTTTCTTTTTATTTATTATATAATTTTAAAAAACTTGCTACATGTACTGCGTTAAGCTAACTGAGACTTGTTATAGAACTTGTATATCTATGCTCTTTTGTTTATTTTAATTGCTTTTATTGTCCTCATTTGTAAGCCGCTTTGGATAAAAGCGTCTGCTAAATGACTAAATGTAAAAATATACAAATTACTAAATAAAAACAATATAAATGTTAATATTGCAATATTTCACTGTAAAAAAAAAAAAAAAAAAAAAAAAAAGAGTATTTAAGGAAAGTAATGAAATTTCTTTTACATTACAACTGTACAATTACAATACTTTATGGCTGTTAAAATGTCTTCATTTTCAAATGTTAAATAATCATTTATTTTGACAGAAAACCGCAGGGAGCCCTGAAACCTTCTCTCTCTTTTTGATAAGCGCTGGTCATTAAAAGTTTGCGTAGACCGTTGCCTCGTGTCTTGTTCTCAGATGCATGTTAAAGCGACTCAAACTCACAGCAGATGCAGAAGGAGTTTGTGTGGAGCAGCATTTACTGCAAATCAAGACATTCTGAGACTTTGCAAACACCACTGGATCATGAGCTGCTTGTGAGTAGGGCTGGGCGATATATCGAGTGTGTACGATATATCGATATATGCTTTATAAGCAATACGGTATGAGGCAATACGGTTTAAATCGATATACTGTAGTTTGATACGAGCACACCTGAAAAATATAGCGGAGGACACAGACAAAGCTGCTGCGGAGAAAGTGCATAATCCAATTTGTTCTAAACATGTGACAAGCTTTATATTAAGGGCTTTTAAAAAACTCGTAAGATATAGTATAGTTTATAATTTCGTATAGTTTAAAATGGCTCTGACAGAAAGACTGCGAGTGCCGCTGACAAAGATGCTACACGTGCTGTTTAATGTGTTTGAGATGTGCCGTTTTTCTTAATGCATAACTTACATTTTATAGGTATATTCTCCATCTGTAAATGTTAGAAAGTCACGGAAATATTTCCATTTTGCTGCATGAGCCTTCTTCGCTAATCTCCGCTAAACTTCACAGACTTCAGTGAACGAGCGCCGCCGCGTGCATGCGCGCCAAACAGACAGAGCGCAATAATTCTGACTAAAATATATATTTCACTGAAATATTTGTAGTTGGACAATGTGACGTATGTATGACAAGCTTTATATTAAGGGCTTTTAAAAAACTCGTAAGATATAGTATAGTTTATAATTTCGTATAGTTTAAAATGGCTCTGACAGAAAGACTGCGAGTGCCGCTGACAAAGATGCTACACGTGCTGTTTAATGTGTTTGAGATGTGCCGTTTTTCTTAATGCATAACTTACATTTTATAGGTATATTCTCCATCTGTAAATGTTAGAAAGTCACAGAAATATTTCCATTTTGCTGCATGAGCCTTCTTCGCTAATCTCCGCTAAACTTCACAGACTTCAGTGAACGAGCGCCGCCGCGTGCATGCGCGCCAAACAGACAGAGCGCAATAATTCTGACTAAAATATATATTTCACTGAAATATTTGTAGTTGGACAATGTGACGTATGTAGGATTTAAAACCTACAAGTAAGTAGGGCTGCACGATAAATCGAAATGGAATCGAGATCGCGATTCGACAGAAGCTGTGATTGTCATGCGTATCTTTCAGTGAAGCACGGTTCTGTGATCAGCAGTAAATCTCCATCCAAAGGCCAGAGGGCGCTCTCGCGCTGAAACTCCAAATACGCCTCGCAGAAGAAACCCAGAAAATGCCTATCGCTGCAGCTGAATAAACAGAAGATTCAACAGCTTTCATTGAATCAACGCGACTAATAAACACACGACTACGGCAATATACGGAGTTCTTATTATCTTATTATTATAATTTTCATTAAAATAAAGTATATTAATAATGCAATGCCTTTATCACTGCTTAAAGGGATCTGCGGTAATCAAAATAACCTAATACAACTCTGTGCTTTTGTTCTCATTTATTTTCATTTTTAGTTTAGTGAATTTAACTTCTGCTTTAAAAGCATTATTTTTGTTTTTAGATTGCAATGTTACAATGTTAGAATGAAATGTGATATTGACCCTTTTCGCACATAATATTTAGGCTTACATTGTTACATTCACTTTATTAGTTTTCATAGCCTTTAATATGTATTGTTTCGTTGGACAACATTGGGCGGTATGTAAAATATATATTAAATACAGATAAAAATAAAAAAAATCCAGATACAAAAACGAAAATACCGAGATATATACCATACATCGCAAATTGGCCAAAAAATACCGAGATATTAATTTTTGACCATATCGCCCAACCCTACACTGAATAATTGAACACAGTTCAATTACAGCGGATATACTCATTTAATTAAACCACAGCCTTTGTGATGTGATAGTCATGTTGCGATTTCAGTTTTTAACTTAATCGTGCAGCCTGAAATTATGAATTCTGTCTTTCAAACTAAAATTCCACTATTAAGGCTTTTAGTGTCATACTAGAGTTATATTCCTCTTGTCTGGGTTTGTTTCAGAGAGACTGTCAGTCTGTGTGTTAGCGGCGGAGATTTTACAACATTTCTTTCTGCAGCAGAACTACAAAGAACTACTCTTTGTTACACCAGAACTACAAACAATAAAAAATAATTAATTCAAGTGACTCTGATTCATGATATTTTTATTGGAGATGTAGCAGCAGTTAATTCTGCAGTGGATTTGAAATAAGTTCCACTGGCAGAGCAAAAACACAGAAAACAAGAGAGAAAGTAACTACCGATATTGTGTCTAAAATGCAAGTTACTGAATAATAACTTCTTTTTTTAGTGAACAGTTGTGTAACAGTAATATCACGCTCCCAATCTGCAGTGTGTTCTGAATATCAGCTGTCGGTACTGATACATGCAGAATAACACACATCTGGTTCACTGTAAAAAATGACCGTGAATTTAACGGTAAAAGACTGTAAAAATGCTACAGTAAAAACCTGTTAAATGGTTAACATAAATTCCCCTACTATATACGGTGAAAAACGCTTTTTGGTGACTCTTTGAAACCAGACCAGGCGTTTATAATTATTTATTACTATTTCTTGGAAAATTCTACATTCATAAATGTAAACTTTAAAAGAAAACACCTTTTTGTATATTTGAGGAATTCTATATAGGATATTTTAAGTAGTTCTAAAAATTTGCCAGTGAGACAAACAAATATAAGCTATAATAAGAAGAATTTCATATATAGTAAGCCTCTTACTATGTTGTCTTCATGATTGTAAATATAATTTTTTTGCATAATAAAAATAAATTTAGAAGTGTTAGTTAAAATGAAATAATTTTTGTTAAATTGTGTTTATTCTATTTACAGTATCTGTTATATATTTTATGACTGAATGTGATTGTTGTTTTGAGTCCATAAAAATCTGTTTTTGTAAATAATACTGGATGACTGACTTCTGTTATCAGAACTGCTGTGGTTATCATATACGGTAAGATGGGTAAAATACAAACAGCTGAAACTGCAACATACAGTATTTACTGATGAGTTTAAACACGGAATGCAGCATCTAAGATATTATTGTTAGAAGAAATAAATGGAAACAATTGCTAATTTTGTTGTAATAGCTACTGGTCAGTTGTTAAAGCACAAACGGCCTCGGAAAAGAGTTATCAGAAGACAAAAACATCCTTAAAATCTCATAGTAAATCTCATACTCGGATCAAAACATATGCATTTTCTTTCTTTTCTTTTTTTTTACATATGTGACCCTGGAGCACAAAACCAGTCATAAGGGTCAATTTTTTGAAATTGAGATTTATACATCATCTGAAAGAATAATAAATAATCTTTCCATTGATGTATGGTTTGTTAGGATAGGACAATATTTGGTCGAGATACAACTATTTGAAAATCTGGAATCTGAGGGTGCAAAAAAATCTAAATATTGAGAAAATCATCTTTAAAGTTGTTCAAATGAAGTTCTTAGCAATGCATATTACTAATCAAAAATTTAGTTTTGATATATTTACGGTAGGAAATTTACAAAATATCTTCATGGAACATGATCTTTACTTAATATCCTAATGATTTTTGGCATAAAAGAAAAATGGATAATTTTGACCCATACAATGTGTTGTTGGCTATTGCTACAAATATACCCCAGCGACTTAACACTGCTTTTGTGCTGCAGGGTCACAAATATGCATTTGGCAGACACTTTCATCCAAAGTGAGATTGCATTCAAGCTATATATTTTATCAGTTCATGCATTCCCTGGATTCTTCATGCCAGATGCATAAACAAACGAATAAACAAATAAGTAAATCTTTGATTAATAAAACATGTTTTGTTCTCAGCATGAACATACGTGTAACGTTTTTAGGATTTTTTGTGATCAAGGCAGGAGAGCATCATTTCAACTAATCATTGGCAATAACAGCTACATTAGCAAATGTGTTTCATGCATGCAGTTCATGCACTGCCGTGGCAATTCCTTTAAAACTAAAAGAGAAATAATTCCAGACAGCACATGAATGATGATACTAGTTTTGAAGTGCTTTGCTGCAGTTTGAACAGACTGCAGGAATGTGTCTGCATGCATTTGACTAATGACTTTCTCTTTGCATGCACAGGTGGATTCCAGCAGTAGTGCAGGTGTCACATATGCACCTGTTGCTAAGACACATAAACCAGCTTCACACTGGACATCACTAGACCTTCATATGACACTGTTGAACTGTATGTACAAGATGAGGAGTGATGAAGACATCAGTGTTCACAGTCTCTCTCTGGACTCCCTCAGCTTGACCGTCTATGAGAATCCACACGACGTGATTCTGGAGGATGAAGGCGACACAGAGCCGGACGCTCAGGTTAAGAACCGGATATATATACTGTAGATCTGAATCAACAGCGCTCAAGGTTCGTGCTGAGAACTTGAGATGAGGCCTAGTACAGGATGCATATTCATAACTGCAGCTTAAGATAAATTAATATGCATTAAAAAAAAAAAGTTGTGTTTATAATTCATTTCATTTTTGAGTATTTCAATTACCCATAAACATGTTATCATATTTCTTTATAAATCTTTCAAATGTATTTATTTGTAATATTTAAATCACATTTAATAAATACATTTTCATTGGGCCAAGGTTGAATGACACTTGCGGTAATTAAAATCTGTTTTGAAATAACTGATTGTAGTTTTATCAGTAGGACATACTACTACATTCAACATATCAAATAAATAAATAACGTAATTATTAATGCTTTGTCACAGAACCTGCGTAAGACTAATGACTAACTCTGCCACCATTAACCTCAACCATCATGGACTCGGTCCTCTGGGAGCACAAGCCCTGGCCATCGCTCTCGTGGTAATACTGACCGTTTCTGATGCTCTGATGATCTACAGCTGATGCTCTGATGCTGATCTCAGATGCTCTGTGTGTAGACAGACATGCACACCACAACACTGGAGCTGGCAGACAACTCCCTGTTAGCCGAAGGAGCCAGATATCTCACGGAGATGCTGAGGGCCAATTTCACCATTCACAATCTTGTAAGTCTATTTTACTATTCTCATTTACCTGTTGTGATGAATTTGTCCACTAGAGGGAAGCAAAGCATTAACTTCTGGCATCTTCCAGGATCTTTCTGACAATCACCTTCAGTCTGCTGGAGCCGAGTGTGTCGCTAAGATGCTCCTGGAAAACATTTCCATTAAATCATTAAAACTGTCAGGTATTTCATGCATATGTGCATACAGCACGATCAGATGGTAAACCTGATTCACAGTGAGACAGAACGCAATGTGTATGTTCACAGGGAATACATTTGCTGAAGATGATGCCAAACGGTTTGCAGATGCGTTTCAAGTTCAAGTGTCACCGTCTGTTTATGCAACATAAATCTAGTTAAACAGATCGATCATCCAAAGATGACAATTCTGTCATAATTTACTCAACCTCATCTTTTTTCAAATCCATATGACTTCCTTTCTTTGGAAATACACAAATGGTAACTAAACCATTTTACATTTACATTGAATCATTTAGCAGACGCTTTTATCCAAAGCAATTTACAAATGAAAACAATAGAAGCAATCAGACCAACGAGAGAACAACAGTATACAAGTAGCACTTAAGGACTTGTTCAATTATGCCCTTGATGAGCCCATTAGCCCCTGGAGCATGTTAGGATGCAATCATGTATCTTTTGAGGGGTTTGTGGAGTTCTTGGCACGTTCCCCAGCTAAGGGGGCTGCAGTGCCTCCCGTGATGGCCAACAGGGCTGCAGCGCCCCCGAAGGTGGGCGACGAAGCTGCCGCGCCCCCAGTGGTGGCCGAAGAGGTGGCAGCGCCCCCAGAGGCGGCCGATGAAGCTGCAGCGCTCCCGGTGGTGGCCGA